ATAGAGTTGAAGTCGTGGTCCTTGTCGGCAGCGTTATTCGTCAAACCAAACATCACGCGCTTGTTATTCGTGGCGCAGTCAGCGGAGACGCCGCGGACTTCGTCGTCAACCTTGGTGATGGCCCGCGCGCTGTACGCGCCGGCCTGTTTCCAGTTGCTCCCACCCTTCGTGCGTCGCAGGTACCCGAGTTTGTCGTCCGTCGTCGCGCCAACCACGCCGGCGAACTCGACGAGTGCCAAGTCGTTTGCCCCTTGCACGATCTTCTTCACCCACTTCACCTTGGACAGGGACGCGCCGTGCGTCTTCATGCGAATGGTGGCGTACAGTGGGAAATCAGGCTGCTCCTCGGATGTCGCGAACTTCTCGCCGTCCTTGTAGTACTCGACGACGCCAGCATCATTCACCGACACTTGGAAGGTCTCGCCCGTGTGATACGAGCCAAAGTCGCCATCGCGCATTTGTCCGTGCTCGGAGATGCGGATGACGCCGCTCTCGCACACGATGCCAAAATCAACGACGTTGTCAACGCTGTTGGTCGACCCCGAGTTGAGACCAATCATGGACGTTTTGTCCGTCTGGTCGCAGTCCGCGGAGATACCTCGCACTTCGTCGTCAAGCTTTGTCATGGCGCGTTGGCTCGTGGCACCGCTGTCCCAGGCGTCACCTTCCCTTGAGCGAGAGATTGTTCCGGCAGACGCGTTGACACCGTCCATGTTTTCGAACTCCATGGCAGCCAAGTTGTTCGCGCCTTCGACGATCTTCTGTACCCAGCGCACGTTCTCAAGAACGACGCCATTGGTGTGAAGCGCCACGTCCACGTACATCGGGAACGCCGGCGCGTTCGCACTGGTGTACGCCAACTCGCCATCCTTGTAGTACTCGACCGCGCCTTCATCGTTGAGCGCCACCTGGAACGTCTCTCCGGACGCGAAGCTGCCGATGACAGCCTTCTTCTGGCCACGCTCGTACACGATCGCCCTCGTGTGCTGTTGGTCGCAGTAAATGGCGAAGTCGATAGAGTTGAAGTCGTGGTCCTTGTCGGCAGCGTTATTCGTCAAACCAAACATCACGCGCTTGTTATTCGTGGCGCAGTCAGCGGAGACGCCGCGGACTTCGTCGTCAACCTTGGTGATGGCCCGCGCGCTGTACGCGCCGGCCTGTTTCCAGTTGCTCCCACCCTTCGTGCGTCGCAGGTACCCGAGTTTGTCGTCCGTCGTCGCGCCAACCACGCCGGCGAACTCGACGAGTGCCAAGTCGTTTGCCCCTTGCACGATCTTCTTCACCCACTTCACCTTGGACAGGGACGCGCCGTGCGTCTTCATGCGAATGGTGGCGTACAGTGGGAAATCAGGCTGCTCCTCGGATGTCGCGAACTTCTCGCCGTCCTTGTAGTACTCGACGACGCCAGCATCATTCACCGACACTTGGAAGGTCTCGCCCGTGTGATACGAGCCAAAGTCGCCATCGCGCATTTGTCCGTGCTCGGAGATGCGGATGACGCCGCTCTCGCACACGATGCCAAAATCAACGACGTTGTCAACGCTGTTGGTCGACCCCGAGTTGAGACCAATCATGGACGTTTTGTCCGTCTGGTCGCAGTCCGCGGAGATACCTCGCACTTCGTCGTCAAGCTTTGTCATGGCGCGTTGGCTCGTGGCACCGCTGTCCCAGGCGTCACCTTCCCTTGAGCGAGAGATTGTTCCGGCAGACGCGTTGACACCGTCCATGTTTTCGAACTCCATGGCAGCCAAGTTGTTCGCGCCTTCGACGATCTTCTGTACCCAGCGCACGTTCTCAAGAACGACGCCATTGGTGTGAAGCGCCACGTCCACGTACATCGGGAACGCCGGCGCGTTCGCACTGGTGTACGCCAACTCGCCATCCTTGTAGTACTCGACCGCGCCTTCATCGTTGAGCGCCACCTGGAACGTCTCTCCGGACGCGAAGCTGCCGATGACAGCCTTCTTCTGGCCACGCTCGTACACGATCGCCCTCGTGTGCTGTTGGTCGCAGTAAATGGCGAAGTCGATAGAGTTGAAGTCGTGGTCCTTGTCGGCAGCGTTATTCGTCAAACCAAACATCACGCGCTTGTTATTCGTGGCGCAGTCAGCGGAGACGCCGCGGACTTCGTCGTCAACCTTGGTGATGGCCCGCGCGCTGTACGCGCCGGCCTGTTTCCAGTTGCTCCCACCCTTCGTGCGTCGCAGGTACCCGAGTTTGTCGTCCGTCGTCGCGCCAACCACGCCGGCGAACTCGACGAGTGCCAAGTCGTTTGCCCCTTGCACGATCTTCTTCACCCATTTGACGTTCTCTAGTCTTCCATTACCTTCATCGTCGACAATTCCGCCTGCGAATAATGGGAAAGCAGGCGTTCTGTTGCTGTTATGCACTAAATCACCTTCCCTGAAATATTGAACGACACCTTCATCACTCACTGAGACTTGGAATGTATCGCCTCTCAGATATGGGCCTCCTGTTGCAACAATCTCACCATCTTCGTACACCTGCATGACTCCGGCATCACAAGCAAGACCGTACTCGATTGATGAATCGTCTTCCGTCTTGTAGAATGCACTGTTTAAGCCAAACATCATACGTGTTGTCGTATCGTTGCAATCCGCAGAGATTCCACGCACTTCGTCACCAACCTTCGTCACTGCCCGTTTGCTCGTCGCTCGGATTCCGTCGAAACGGACATCACGCTTGGGCGGCGGTATCGGACGTTTGACATCCCCATGCGACACTTCGGCGATGTACACGTCATCAAATTCGATAATATCCACCCAGTGCATTCGAGTCAGTTGCGCTCCAGGTGTGAAGAGCCGTGCCTGAGAGAACAATGGAAACTGCGGCATATTTTCGCTGATGTGTAAAATTTGCCCGCCTCGAAGATACTCAATCTGTCCTTGCTTGTTAATGAAGATGGAGAACGTATCCCCTGGATTATACGATGAGCAGAATTCCCTGATCGGTTCGTGAGACCGGTTCTCAGGGCCCACGGTGACCGGTGAATCGAGTTTGTCTTGCGCTTCTCCGAGTTCTCTCAGCGCTTTTGGCCCATTGGGTTGCGGTCCATTGGGTTGCGGTCCACCTGGCTGCGGTCCATTGGGTTGCGGTCCATTGGGTTGCGGTCCACCTGGCTGCGGTTCATTGGGTTGCGGTCCATTGGGTTGCGGTCCATCTGGTTGTGGTTCATCCGGGTGAGGTCCATTGGGTTGTGGTCCGTTGAGTTCGTCTGGTCTACGTCCGTTTAGTCCAGGTCGAGGTATGCAATGTCCATCGTTCCGAGGATCGATCGATTTCACAATGACCCCATCTTCCAAGATTTGGAGAGTACCGTTGTTGCAGTAAACAGCGAAGCTCAGACTTTCGTTCACCGTGCGATTCAAAGACAGACCAAACATCATTTTTGATTTGTTATCAGAGCAATCAGCAGAAACACCGCTCCTTGTCGTATTCGTGCCGTTGATGGAATCTCTGCTCGTTGCGTAAGCAACCATCTTTGCTTCTTCTTCGATCTTGGCTCTGAGCGAGCGCCTTGAGGGAATGTTCGAAATGGTGCCCGGGATGGTCGTGGAGTTTGAGCCCGAAGGCGGTGAAAACTCAACAAGTTCAAGGTTATCTGCGCCTTCGACGATCTTCTGTACCCAGCGCACGTTCTCAAGAACGACGCCATTGGTGTGAAGCGCCACGTCCACGTACATCGGGAACGCCGGCGCGTTCGCACTGGTGTACGCCAACTCGCCATCCTTGTAGTACTCGACCGCGCCTTCATCGTTGAGCGCCACCTGGAACGTCTCTCCGGATGCGAAGCTGCCGATGAC